AAAATTCTTTCAAGTTGAGTCAAAACCGAGTTGACGATGGTGAAGAAGACAAAACCGAGTTGACGATGGTGAATCTTCCTGTAGCGGATAACTGTTTACACTTAAAATTCTTTCAAGTTGAGTCAAAACCGAGTTGACGATGGTGAAGAAGACAAAAAGAAAATTCTTTCAAGTTGAGTCAAAACCGAGTTGACGATGGTGAAGAAGACAAAACCGAGTTGACGATGGTGAATCTTCCTGTAGCGGATAACTGTTTACACTTCCGCAACAATAATTTCTTGAAAAAAAACTATGTAAGAAAGATTGTCGTTAAAAGGTTATTCCTCTGTGAGCATGGTCTCACATTGGAAAGGATAACGAAGAATAACAACCTTAAGCTCTCAAGGCTGGTATTCTATCTATCCCGACACATGATAGAGCTTCAGAAATGCTGAACCTCGTCATCGTAAGTTATCATACTCTGAAGCATAGGGGAGGTGAGGATCCCACCGAAATGAGCTTCAACTCTGAAAGTAACCTCTTCAATTGTTTTAAAATAGGCAGCAAAAGAACGAGATGGTGTTTGGTAACAAATAATATGAACAACAAGGTCTGCATATCTTCCGCTCAAGATCACACTCCTGAAAAAAACGTCGCCAGTTGGAAAGAGAATGCATCCACAGATACTTATTATAAACCAAACAAGCCCACTCAAATGGACTCCTTTTGAGCACAAGACGATGATAAATTAAGAACTCAGCCTATGTGATCAATAGATCTAACCCTCAAATACAAGGAGCTTCCCCCTATACAGCCAACAATATTGTTAACTGCCGAGATAAATAAAGATGTGAGGGCCAGTCTTTGGTTTTAGGAGAGTATGTACATAAATCCACAACCTCGCATGACCAAAATTGAATATGAATACTCGAGGCCAAGAAAGCCTTCCGGCACTCTTCGAAAATCTCATGCACCGAGTTCTTGATGATTGCCTGCAAACAAACAGATGGTTCATTTTAAACTAAGACTTGAAATCAGAAGAAATAAGAGAGAGAAATACATTAAAACTTTCGCAACCTATTCTCATTTCCCTAAGATAGGTAAAATTTGGTAGCTAAAAACTTCAGAACATGAATATGTAACACATCAATTATAGGCCGTGTTCGTTTTTTGAATAGTCATATGTTACATTATAAAAAATACAATATATAATGGAATTCTAGTTACTTGTATTCTATTCACTAAATATAGAAGTGACATCTTTTAAGAGACAGCATGATGACCGAATTGCTGGTGGTGGATAAAACCAAGATGTAATTGTAATGCTTTCTAGAGGATCTATATCCTTTTCATGATCCAACAATAACAGGAAAATTATTATCATTAATCACATATGTTTACTATATACTGAAAATTTATACTCAATTTTAAGCGAAAATGAACAACTACGGATCATAAAACTTACAATGTGTTAGCTAAGACACGGTTGTTTTATTTGTAATATGACATATATAAAATGCCATGTTTACTCTTCTGACAAGATCATGCCCAACTTTGGAAATTTTGCCAAACACATGTATTAATACAATATTAATTGACTTGAGGCAAAACAGTTACTATGGTTATAATATTAGTCCAAACAGTCATAGTCCTAAACACAAACACTAGCTTGGATTATTTGAAGTTAGTCCAAATATTTAGTTCATGTGAAATCAAATATTGCGTTAGACTAAATAGTTCCAGTATAACAGTCTTAGGACTATAATCCTAGGATAACAGTACCCTCTAGTCCAAGGATAGAAAACAAACATGGCCTAAGATATATGTAATAATAACAAAGAGAGTTCACATACTACTAATTCTCCTTTGTCCTTTCCGTTTTCCCTTCAACTTCCTCTCTTTCTCCCTACACTCAAATAATAAGTTTTGCTAGATTGGATTGGGGTGATACTGGGAGCTTGTAATAAAAAATTTAAAAAAAATTCAGAAAATTCCACCCAAAACCAATCCATAGCCACTTGTATCAGGTTGTTTCTATCAGTAGAAACAACCTGAAACCCAAAAAGGCTTGGTGAGAATTCTCCAAGCCCAACCAGTGATACATATCGTTATTAACCTAGATATTCAAACCACATACTATCATATTATTGTATGCAAGAGAACAGAAAACCAAGAAAAAAGACATGACATATCTATTATTACGAATATTGCTAATGAGCTAGATCTCAAATAATACTAAATTAAAAAAATGGAACGATTCTTATGAGCTACAAAATCACAACCAAAAATGTGAAGCCACTCAACATAGTAATATACTAACCATTTCTCTACCACAACTCCAAAAGGCTAGACTGCTGACTTGATTTCTTCGGATTTCTCCTGAAAGAAGGGCAAAGGAAAAGGTGTCATAACAATTCAACGCTGGTGTAAGTGAAGAATTGCTGATATACTATAATGTCATAGCTCACTAATGAGCATTTTGACACAAACTGTCCAAAATAATCTTAATAACAATAACCAAAAATAACTTAGAAAAACCATAATTAAGTTACTTCCTATAATATTCCTTGAGCACACAGACCTCAGCTGAGGATTCTCTCCTAATTTTTCGAGTGGGGGACCTCATTGTGACAAGTTCCTCTGCGGTTGTAGGGTGAACACCAACTGTGGCATCAAAATCTGCCTTAGTTAACTCTGCCTTAACAGCAATAGCAATCCCCTGAAAGGAATGATAAATTAGTCCAATTGAATTACTAACAAAGGGAGTGAATAATAAAACAAATATTCCACCCAAGATAACCAACCTGTATAATCTCTGGAGAGTCATCGCCACACATATGAACCCCCAAAACTTTGTCTGTTCTTGCACATACAATGACCTTCATAAATACCCGATCAGGTAACCCGGATATAGTAGCCTTCAGCGGCCTAAAGTTAGCTGTGTAGATATCAACATCCCTGTATTCTTGAATGGCCTGCACCACCTCAATTTGTTTAAAGATGGTATTAAGAATATATACAGTTAAACATGGTAATCATGACATTTGAATCACCTGCTCCTCACTAAGACCAACTTGGCCAATTGGTGGCTGAGAAAACACAGCAGATGGCACCGCACTGTCACGAATTGGAGTTCAAACGTGAAGCGATTCAAATAGTAATAACCATCACTATCTCCAAGCAAAAACAAAGCAAAAAAGCAAAAAAGAAGAAAAAGAAACAAGTACAAGAAAAAAAACTGCGGAAAAAGCAAAATGTGAAGCTGTTTGTTTAGCATATAGAGTATTCAGCAATCAGCAACAATATTAAAAAATTATCTTGGCATGCTGCACTATATGTAACCCTTTGGAGAGTCAATAAAGGCTACAGTGCTTCAAAGATGAAATTCATGCATTGTAATAGTAAATTTAGAATGCAAAAAGGACGTACATGTTGTTTGGATTGAGGGGAATGAGGGTGAAGGGAAGTTAGGGGAACCATTCACCTCCATTCACCTTGTTTGGGAACACTTAGGAGGTGAAGTTAATTCACCCTAGTTCCCCTTGGTTCACCCCCTAATAGTATAAAATTTGTTACCCCCCAAATTGGGGTGTAACCAAGGGGAAGGGAACTCCCTTCCCTTCCCTTCCCTTCCCTTCTCTCAGTTTCCCTTAACTTCCCTTCACCCCCTACAAATCCAAACAGGCCTAGCCTTTTAGCAATCTAAGTTAGTGTTGTATGAGCAGTCAGAACAGAATATTGCAAATTTAAGTTTAATTATGAGTCCTCACACACCAGACATGGAAAGATAAGTATACTCGAGGGAGGAAAAAAAACCTATAACAATAGAAACAAGATGAATGAAGAAGTTGTTGAGATCATAAAGATCAGGTCAGTGATCAGATTTGCACTAGTTAGATAAAACATGTAGTATAGAGAACCAAAATAAGCAAACAGACATTGCGACCATATTTCATTGGTGTCCCATCTTTCAATTGGCCTATCAGATGTATGGGTTACATGGGTTAATTAATGGTTTACATAATAAACAAATCAGCATTCCTCACCCTCATAGACTCGTGATCACCAATTGAAGATTGCCTTTGATGATTCCCTTTTCAATGAAGGAGAACCATGTTCTCTAAACTTCATGCAAAATACATGGCCCTGCTCTTCTTTTCTTTGTTTTCCGTTCTTTTCTTTATTATTGTCAGTAGGCAGGAAAGTGTATATCATGACCATCCATTTAATGTTTTTTTAGGTTTTCGGAGGATTTTTTTTTATTGGTTTTTTTTTTTTTTTTTTTTTTTTGGGGGGGGGGGGGGGGGGTCTTACGAATGATTGATCAAATCTTGAGTACATTATGATAATGTTATGAAAACATAACCTAGACTATTTTTTTAAATTAATGAAAATCTAGCTAGAATATACTGCAGAAATGTTGGACAATGGGAGAAGCAAAGAAAACGACCTATTCTAAGCATTGCCAAGCAATATATCTTATCAAATATGTGTCATGGCACTGTTCTATACTACTACACTGCACAGCAACTTACGGACTCTCTTATAAAATAAGCTTTAATATTGTTGAAATTTTGTTTATAGATGTTGCTGTTTGATAACTTCCAACCAATTCATTGTTAATCGATCCTCATTTTTATATAGAACAAATTTAAACAAGAACAGGAAAGGATCAGCAATACTCGAACATGACTTTATAAAACTAGTTACATCATGCCACTTATGTGTTATCTATCATGATTCCTGTTGCTTCAATTGTTGAGTAACACCACATACACCATGATCCTAAATATCCAGAGTTTCATTGTCTGTAGTCAATCATGGGCTACCAGTGGATGATAACGCAATTTGCATATGCTGATTCATATAGCATATATCGGTATTAATAATTTACATATTCATATTGCTGAAGGAAATTATTAAATATGTTATCAACATGGATTCCATGATTTCATCCTGCCATTTCTGAACATCAATTATGCTTCTGTGGTAAAGCTCTGGGACTGACTATCCAAACTTTCATTCTCTCAAAGTTGATCAAGGGCTATTGTTGGATGATATCTACATTTAATGCATATATTATTCATTGTTCACATATTTAATATCTACTAATTTACTAATGACAAGTTCATACAGCCGAAAGAAGTTATTAAGCCTGTTCTCAACCAGAAACGCATCATTTGCTTCTTGGCTTGCTGTTTCTGAACCTGATTATGCCGGTGCAGTCGAAGTGCTGGAAATGGCACAGAGTAGTAGGCAGACAAAGGCATAAGTTACAGCAGTAACCATTCATCATAACACGTCTAGCAACCATGAGTACCATATGAAATGCTTATGCTTAAAACATAGAATGAGAAGGGACACAAATATATGTTGCTCTACTCACTGTTTTTGTTCTCAATCTGATTCATGTTACAGACTGCATTATTCATGCGGGCCTTTAAATGGAAGTAGAACATCTTAGAAATGGGGAGAAATTATATTAGACTGTTTAAATATAAACAATTTGTATTTTCGGTATGTTTCCTAGATGCATTTGTCTTTCAGCAAACGCATGAGTCTCCAATTATATATAGCACATCACCAATTGGTTATACTTTAAAACTTCACTAGGTTATAACGTCTAGAAATAGTTATGGAGATAAAAGGGGTGTAGAAGTAGATTAAAAGAAGTCAGTGATTTCTGAAGGTTCTACGAATTGAAGGAGAAAAAAACAACTTCAATGAATTCAGTCATGGCTGATAACTTGCTAATTTGTTAAACCGCAGAAGAAAAACAATGATGGAGAAAAGTACAGAAAGATGATAGATATAACAATATCAAAATGTTGATAAAGGACCATCTGGTAACCATTCAGAAGAGCCTTTTCATTTGAGCATTCTGCTGGATGTAATGCCATTGAGATGGGGGAAAAAGCGTAATAATGCTGGCAATGATCATGATTCATGATGATGACCATGAGCACAATGAACATGATCGTGATGCTAATATTAAAATTGAGAACCGCACCTGTAATTTGGCTTTGCAGGTTCATTCCCAAATACTGTTTTTGCAAATGCCCCTCCTTCCATCAACGCAACAGGAGTCAGGTTCACCCTATCAGTAACATCTCCAACAGCCCAAATAGAATCAACTGATGTGCGAGAATATTCATCAACCTGATGAGAAGATATTGAGATTAAAGAACAAGTATGCCGCTTTAGATTTGGTGCATTAGAGATGCATATAAACCTTAACTTAAAAAATAAAATTTACCAGTATTGCTCCATTCTTGGCCAATTTTACTCCAACCTCCTCCAGCCCCAAATTCTATAACAGGATAAAACATATATAACCAAACACTTAAGTGCTTCCTATATAAGTTTATAATCATTTGTAAATTAGAGTATTAATAATGAATTCCAAGGAACTGCAGACCTTTGTGTTAGGCCTGCGACCTGTAGCAAACATTATATGTGAAAAACCATCCACAGTTCCTTTATTGGTTCTTAATGAGAGCAGACCATCCGCCGACTTGATGATTGCCTGAGGGGATTCCTCAGTGTGGAACTCAATACCTCTAAGGGACATCTGCTCAGCAACAAAATCTCTGACCTGCAGAAACCTAAAGGTGAAAAAGCTACTCTAAACTTTTACCATGACAGACAACAATAATAACAATAAAACAGATGAACTTCTTACCTCCTCATCAAACCCTCGAAGGACTTTCTTTTGGCGGATAAAAACATGGACATCACTCCTTAATCCATTAAAGATACCAGCAAATTCCAAAGCAATGTATCCACCCCCTACTATAGCAATCTTATCAGGCCTTGAAGGAAGATCCAATGCAATATCTGAGTCAATAGCATACTCTTTTCCAGGAATCTCTGGAACAAATGGTCTCCCACCAACGGATATAAGTATGTGCCTAGCAGAGTAAAGTTTCCCATCTACATCAACAGTATGTGGGTCGACTATCTGCAATATTGAAAATGACAACAGAAACAAAATATAGTATATAACAACATCAAAAACATTGTTGCATTTGAACTTGGAAAGTTATGCTTAGAACTTTAACTAACCTTTCCTCGACCTTCAATTAATGTTACCCCGGAATTCTTCAAAATATTCTTGTAAATCCCTGTCAAACGCTGTAATTCAGCATTCTTGTTGGCCATCAGAGTGCTCCAATCATGCTTTGGCTCAGTTTCATAGTTCCATCCGAAGCCATGACTCTCTTCAAACTCATGAGAATATTTTGATGAATAAACCAGCAACTTCTTTGGTACGCATCCTCGAAGCACACAGCTAAATTAGGTGAAAAAAACCCAAACACATAATCATTATTTGTAAAAACTTCCCAACTGCAATGGCATTATAAAAAAAGTAAACATGTAAATGAAAATTATTGGATATCAATCCACAAACTCCCACATCAGAAGATAAATAAGGAATTTTGGGGAAGATTAGGTAGCCCATCTCTGGCATTTAAAAGAAAAAAAAATCAAAAATTCAGAAAAGACGCTACTAAAAAAACATGAACAAGTCGACCACCATGTAACGTTGCACCCGAAAATAAGTATTAATAGAAAATGTGAAGGTCAAGGAAAAGGGACCAAAACTCGTGTCCAATGCTTCTGATCATATACAGAAATGACGCAGCGTTCAATGCCCATGCAACCCTACTAATTAAGAAGTTGGATTGAATAATCCACTCCCTTAAAAAGGTATTAGAATTTACAAGGAATCTCAGACTGGCCAAAAACATCCTCCTCAATAGCAGGAAAACTTACAACAAATAATGTATAAGATTGTACTACAGCACGAGACTGAATGTAAACACGAAATTTAATAAGTGCGCCACTTAATAAAAATTTTAATGTAAAATCCTAAATTATAAACTAAACATAGCACATTATTATCCTGGTGCATCAGACTAACATTTCAAAACCTCCAAACTGTTGAATTTAACATTTCAACCTACTGATAAGTACTGACAACTCAAACCACCTAAAATTGCGCCAAATTTAGCGTCAAAACCACTTCTCAAACGCCAAAGCCATCCCAAAACCCTAACACTAACCGCACCCGATACTCAAACGAAGCACCCGAAAACACAGAAAAAAAACACCAACCAACTTATGTTCCTTCCAACACCACCAGCAACATTCGAAGAAATTGTAGCAAAGGGCAGCTCAAAGACCGCAACTTTTTCATGACACGAATAGCAGCAAACCTCAAAGCGCTCACTCCGCCCCTCGCGGACCCAATCATGGACAGACCGAAGCCTACTACGAGCAAATTCGAATTGGATAAAACTCCGTCAAAACCCTAAAACACTCGCACAGAATAACTTAGAAGGGGGCAAAAAAAATACACCTCAATAAAATCCCTTAAAAACAGCTAAAACAAAAATGAAAAACTCAGCTTACGTTCCCCCAACTCCACCAGCGACATCCGAAGAAATCGTAGCGAAGGGAAGCTCACACACCGCCACTTTGGCGCCATAATTCGCCGCGAACCTCGACGCCCTCACCCCGCCGCTCCCCGCCCCAACCGTGAACAGATCAAAATCGTACTTCTTCTCGGACTCCCCAATCGCCCCGTTATCGGATCCGGCGACGGGATCCGACCCGTTAGCTCGGACTGCTAGGGCGCGGCGAGGGGCATAAGAAGCAGAGAAGGAGGGTTTGAGAGAGAGGAGGGAGAAAGGAGGGAGATTTCTGGAGAGGGTTTTGAGGGTCGAGGGATAAAAATGGAGCCTCGGAGCTCCGAACGTGAGAGTGGTGGCCATCGAGGGACGCTTGATGTCGGGGCTTTTTCTGTGGTTATTAATAGGCGATTTCTTGGCCGCGTTTTCGGTTTCGGAGGGAAATTACGGATTAGCCCCTCACGTTTCGCCGCTTGTCATCGCCACCCAATCCTCGGCTTTTTTTTAAATGGGATTATTTGCATACACCCCCTAATCCATGAGTATTTGCATAAGTATCCTCTAAGTCTCGTATTTGCAAAACTATCTCTAAAGTTTGGCAAAACATTATCCTCAAAGCAATTAATCGTCACCTTTAATAAGCTAATGTGTAACCACAATATAAAAATTAACAATAATATAATCGAAATTCTATAAGTCAATTTGATGATTTGTTGATTTTAGAGATATTTTTCGCAAAGTTAATAATTTAAGCTGTATTTTCGGAAATACTAATATTGGCGGGTATTCTACAAATACCCATGATCTAAGGGGTATATATGAAAATAACCCTTTTTGAATCACAGCATTGCTATTAGGCCCTCTTATTCTTAAATTATTTAAAATCACTTCTTTTAAATCATGAGTAAAGCAGTGGTTAAAACGATTAATCTGAAAGAGTTTATGAGAACGAGGGACCCAACAGTAATGACAGTAGTTTCAAAAGAATGTGGACTTGGGGTGAACTTAAAAATTGAGAGAGCTGGTAATAATTTCAATGATGATTTGAGGAATCAATTACATATATGAAAGATTTAGGGGCCAATGTAAAAAAAACCCTTCCTTTTTCTCAGGTCTTACAATATTTATCTTCTATATTATATTTTAAAGGTGGGGTTTTCAAATGTATACCCCTCTCAAGTCATGATATTGGCTAGTAGCTATTTTCAAATGTTCGCTCTAAATTTTCAAAATACCTAACTTGCCCCTTAGAACACTGGTCTCTACTGACTGTAAATTTTTTAACATTGCGTAGTAAGAAAAAGTTCAGTGTTGGGTATTAATCATGAACCTTGTTAGTTAATTTTGAAATAAATCATAAGAAAACCGTTACAACTTGGAATGTATTACCTTTAACATCAAAAGAAACTGCGAATCAAAATTCATTCCAGAACTCATTATTAGAGTTTGAGAGAGTGGAAATTTACTTCATCAAACTTAGAAAACGTGAGCATTACAATTAACAAGTTAATCCTGCATGACTGAGAACCAAAATTGATGAAAGCTCATTCATTTACAGAGGAATCGAAAAAAAAATGGTGATAGTCGTCAATCGCTTAAAGTTGTTAAAAGTAAGAGAGAGAGAATCTTGGATAAATTTCCCTTGAGTTAGTATTAAGTGTGCACATATATTTATACAAGTAGAGGAGGGTGAGGTGTGTTCTCACAAGCAATGTGGGACTAAAAACCACTACAATACACAATTATCAACAGCCCCCTTCAAACTCATGTTGGTTCAAACAAAGTGAGTTTACATACAAGAAACTGGCACCGATGAACAGGTAAGGCCTTTGTGAAGAAATCTGTAAGCTCGTCAGCGGATGAGACATGAGGAAGTAGAATTATCTTGTCCTTGATAACTTGGTGACTGACAAAATAAGCGTCGATCTCAATATGTTTGGTCCTTTCATAAAATACTGAATTATTAGCAATCTGAATGACATTCTTATTATCACAGTAGAGAGGAGTAGGAGTCGTAACAGAAATACCGAAATCACTGAGAAGGCAACAAAGATGAATAATCTCTTTAGCTGTTGTGGACATTGCACGATACTCTGCCTCGGTACTGGAAAGAGCAATAACATCTTGTTTCTTACTCCACCAGAAAATAAGGGAATCACCAAGAAATATACAATAACCTGTGGTAGACTTTCTGGTAGTGGGATCACCAGCCTAATCAGCATTAGAATATGCACAAAGCTCTAACTTAGATGTAGCAGGAAACAAAAAAGAGCGAGTGAAGTACCCCGGAGGTACCGAAGAATCCGTAATAAGGCAACATAGAGTACAAAACGTGAGGCACTAACAAATTAGCTGACAATCCCAACAACATGAGAGATATCTGGTTGAGAGATGCACAAATAGACCAACTAGCCAACAAGATGTCAATATCGGGTAGGATCAGATAGAGGCTCACCATCGGTAGAGCAAAGTTTGACATTCTACTGGAGTAGAGTATAGACAGTTGCATCGTCAGTTAGCTCAGCTTGATTTAGAATATCCGAGAGATACTTCTGTTAAGATAGTAGTACCCCCCGCGGGCCTTGAGAAATTTCTAGACCAAAAAATACTGAAGAGATCCAAGATCCTTCATGCGGAACTGTTGTTGTAACTGAGATTTTGCGTATTGTATACCTACCACATCATCACCTGTAATGATCATATCATCTACATAGATGAGTAATAAAACTTTGCCATGCTATGTAGTACGAACAAACAGAGAAGCATCTTGATGACTTTCCATAAAGCCCGATTTGAGCACGACATCACGAAAATACTCAAACCAAGTGCGGGGTGTCTGCTTAAGACCATAAATAGAACGGCGAAGGAGACATGCATGTCCCGGAGGAATATTTGACCCTGGAGGCGGTTGCATATATACGATCTCTGATAAAGAGCCATGAAGAAAAGCATTTTTGACATCCATTTGGTATAAGGGCCAACGATGAGCAGCAGCGACCGCAAGGAGAGTACGAACAATGGGCATCTGAGCAATAGGAGCAAAGGTCTCCTCATAATCAATACATTGTTGCTAAGTAAAACCTCGAGCCACTAAACGAGCTTTTCGACGTTCAATGCTGCCATCGGGATGAAACTTGACCTTATAAACTCATTTACTACCAACAAGAGAGATCCTAGGAGGACAGGGAACAACATCCCATGTATGAGTTTGCAGATGTTTTCGTCGAAAGTTGCTTTTTTCATTACTTTCGAACCTGTTACACCGTTTATCGATTACAAGTCTGAATTGAAAGAAAAGTTGATCTTTTTATAAGATCTTCTTATAATGAAAAATCAAAAAATTATAACTTTATCTAACAAAACACAGCAGTAGTTTATCTCCTGATGCTTCGCGTGGGATCTTTACCTGTACCGGGGACGCGTTAGTCCCTGGACCACCGCAGATCAAATCCGGTTGACTGTATAACTACGCTCTTGTTTCACGAAGAAAACAATTGCGGCAGTGAAAATCACGATCAAGCGGGATTGTGGCTCTTTTCGAGATTAAAACAAGGTTTAATCCGGAGGAAGGAGGGGGAGAGAATCTCGAATCTTTTGAAGGGTTTTTCTTTATGAAAAAGTTCGCCAAGATTCGCTAATTCTCCTCTAAAATTTGTGGTTCACTGTTCAATTCAACAACACCTCGCCCTCTGATTTTCAGATCCTCTCAAATGAAGACATTGGGCTTCTATTTATAGGCTTCTGTTGTCATGTTTTCTGATAAGATAGGTATTCTGATATCTTCTGCAGTTGATAACAATTCAGATATGTTTGGAGGAGCTTCAAACCAATTGAAGAAGTCCTGGAATGAAAGAACTCTGATAAAACATCAAAAAACACGTTTTTGGGAATTTTGACCAGTCGGGATTGTCCGCGGTGGCCCAAAACTATGTGAGACACCATTTGGTGGCTCGCACGAGCACCATTTGGTGGCTCACGTGGGTGGGAGCCACCATTTGGTGGCTCGCACTCACGCGAGCCCCATGGCTTCCGTTTACCCGTCTTTTTAATTTTTCAACAGTTTTTTTTCATTTGTTCGCTTTCTCTGTAGTTGTTTTTCGCTTTATGTGTGTTCGTTGATTCATCTCCTCGTGCGCGATTCGTTTCATGTGTTCCGGGAACGGTTTATCGAACTTGTGGTTCGCTTCATGCGTTTTGTTGATTCGCAAGTGAATGTTCATCGAACGCACTAACCTTTTAGAGTTGGTTGGCGAGCGTGTGAGCCCGTGGTCTTGTTCCGAATATTTCATGACTTCGTTGTGTCAATGATTCATTGTTACATCGCCTTGAACTGTATTCGGGGTCAATAGGCAGTTTTTGATGCCTACAGCTGAAAGGCTTGAAATTCCTCAGCCATAGCCTATCGCCACTCTAGAATTTGAACTGCCTCTTGAAAGGACCAACGGTAGTATGAATGACAGCAGGAAAGTTATGAAAAATAGGTGAATAGGAAATAACCAAAGCATACCAGGCAGGCATGATATACGGGCGTTTGCCTCAACAAGGAGCAAGAGGAACCTCAGGCGGGGGAGATGCTGGCGCAGGTACGTGGAGATCAATAGTATTTTCTAGAGTGAGAGTTGTGTCCACGAGATAGGAATTAGATGGTGTAAGAGAAGGCTCAGGTGAGGAAGAGTTAACAGAAGTAGAGGGAGAGATGTCAAGGAGATCTGAAAGGAAAACTAAGGTGAATAAGTGGGTGATGCAGTTGACGGGGAAGCATGATCAATATAGTAGAGAAAATTAAAGTCATCAAAAGTAGAATAATATGGAGAATCCTCTTCGAACTGAACATGACGAGATATATGAACTCGACGAGTTGTAGGATCATAATAACGATAACCTCGATGTTCTGAACTAATTCCTAAATAAATACAAGAAACAGCTCTGGGAGGTAATTTATCACGTTAGTGAGATGGCAGAAGAACTAAACATCGATAACCAAAAATACGAACTAGATTATAATGGGGAGGATGAGTATAAACACGACTATAAGGAGTAGCACCAGAAATAGAGCTAGATGGAGTGATATTAATGGCATGAGTCGCGGTGAGAATGGCCTCAGCCCAGAAATAACGAGGAACAGAGTAAGAAATGAGCATGGATCGAGCAATATCGAGGATATGACGATGTTTGTGTTCAACAACACCATTTTGCTCATGAGTATAGGAACATGATTGTTGAAAGATAGTCCCATGAGAGGACATGATAGAGCGCATGGGTGGACATGATAGAGCGCATGGTAGAGAATAGGTACTCTTTGGCACAATCAGAACGAAAAACTTTAATACGAGATTGTCATTGAGTGAAAACCATAGCAGTGAAGGCTTGATAAGTAGTAAGTACGTCAGA